TCCGGTAGCAGCGGGGTCACAGGGTCCAGAAAAAGGCGCCCCGCCGCCCCCACGGGCGGCCGGGCCGCACTCGGCGACGACGCGCCGCCGGCGCCCGGCGTGCCCCCGCCACCGCCATGGCCGGCGGGGCCGCCGCGGCCCAGGTGCGCACCCCAACGGGAGAACTCCCTCAGCTGCTGGCTGATCGGCGTCAGCTGGGGCGCCTCCAACGGCTCCGCCGCCGCCGGACGGCCGCGGCCGCGCGGCGTTGAGGGCGGGTCGGCGCCCGAGCGTGCTGCACCCGCGGCCGCGTCGTGCGCGTGCTGCGGCGCGAGGGGCGCGGTGGGTGAAGCGAGCGGCGCTGCGGGCAGGGGCGCGGTGCAGCAATGCCCAAGAGCGGGCAAGGACTGGGCCGGGCCAAACGGCTGGGCAGCACACAGCCTTGCCGCAGGAATCGTCGCAAATGCTGGCAGCCCGCACGGCGGGGCGCCGGGCGCCGCAGCAGCAGGGCCCGGCGGGCCCTTGGGCAGCAGCGGCCACGAAGCGGCTGGCGGCTGCTGTTCGGCGGGTGCAGTGCCGTGGTCGCGGGCAGCTGCCGCCGTCGGCAGGCCGCGCGCCAGGCCGCCCCGCGAGGCCACGGCCCTCGCCGTCGTGCGGCGCGCGCGGCCGCCGCCGCCCGCGGCGGTGCCGCCCTCGGCAGCAGGCGAGGGCGCAAGCGCGCACGCGAGCAGCGCGGAGGCGGCCTCCCGCTCGTCCTCCCTGGCCGCGGCGCCGGGCGCGCCGCGCGCCACGCCGGCGGCTCCAGCGGGCGGACGCTGCGCAGCTGGGTTACGAGCGGGCGCAGCCGCTGGAGCGGCCGCGGATGGCGGCGCCGGCGGGGGCGGCGGGGATGCGCGCGTGGCAGCTTCTGCCATTGCTGGGAACTGGACGCTCCTCCAGGTGTCTGCGTTTGAGGGATTGAGGTCCAATGGCAGGAGTCTATACTACAGAATCAAAGGACGTTTGTCTAGAATGGGTTGTGGATAAGGAGGAATTCAGAAAAGCAGGGCGCGCGACGAAGCGCAGCCGGCAGGCTCGGCGTTTTGCCTGTCGGCTTATTCGGCGGTGCGCGATCGCCGAAACCCTGGGCTTGCGCGAAACGCCGGGCAGCCCCAGCTCCAGGTTCCCCCTTGCAGTTCCTCTCACATCCCCGCTCATCGAACCAACAACGCCGTGCCTCAGAACCGCCCTCCCACATCGACGCCGCCGCCCAGCTCACCCGTGCCGTGCGGCTGCCAGCGCCCGTCGTACGCGACCTCCACTGCCGTGGCCCCCGCCGCGCCCGCCGCGCCGAACACGGGCCCAAAGTACGCGTCCCGCGCCAGGTCCCTCACGGTGGCCGCCGCGCCCGTGGCCGGGCAGGCCCAGCGCAGGGTGCGGGCGGCGGCGGTGAGGAAGGGGCGCAGGTCAAAGGGCTGGAGGGCGCGGGAGGTGAGGAACTGGGCGGGGTCGGAGATCGGGGCGCCGGTGAGGGGGTCGCGGGTGGAGACGGTGGCCTATGTGGGGGGGAGTTGTTTGACGGAGGTGGGAGCTGGGGGTAAGGAAGGCAGTCGGCTGATACGATCTGGTTGGCGCAGGGCTGCAAGTTTCGTTGACAATGTGCGAGGCCACAGGTTGCGGCGACAACACAGCAGTGCGGAAGCAACGGCTCCGCCAGGCGGCTCGTATGTATTGCGTAGTGCACGCAGGACAGCAACACCCCAAGATAAGCACCGCGCCGCGCCGTTCGAGAC